AACTATACGTTTGAGTGGTTGTGATTGATTGTAACATTTGACGGGTTTTCAAAAGATTAACAAATAAAATATAAGTTCAGATGAAGATGTTTTAAAAAGGATTTTGTGAAAGCGTTTAAGGAAGGAAAGCAATAAACATGACTTTTATACTGGTTCACTCAATCTTGAGCTACATCTAGTTTTGCCTTAAGAACTCTTAAAGAGTTCTATTAATCTTTTCAAAGATTACACGTGTTTTACCTCTACAGATTTACAACAAATATTCTTACCACTTTTGGTTCACCTAGTCAGCACGACTAGTCCGAGTTTAATTACTCCTAGTTTACAAGTATTTTAACCACTTTTGATCTCAAGTATTCTAACCACTTTTGTTCTCAAGTATTCTAACCATTTTTGGTCTCAAGTATGCTAAGATTTTTCTCTCAAAAGAAATATACAACGTCAGATGATATATGAGCACATAAAGCTTGAGTTCATTATCTTTCTTACTTTATGCTTCTTGTTATCATTCTTGTCTTATCTTCAAGTTTTCATCTATATACAACTTCTCTTGAAAGATGACCGTTAGATATAGAAGTTAACTTCAGGAGAGCAAGATGGAAGTTAAACTTTAGTCTTCTTTGTAGGGGTCAAAGCTTCATCATAGCCTTTAGCAAAACTAAGCTTGTACGATGTGACAAAGTAGAAGGTTTCAAGAGAAACATTCCTAAAATATTCTTCTTCTCTAACAATGTTTTTTTCTTGGGTGCAATGATTCTGATAATATCTTTCTACTATGCACAAATATGAAGAACAAAGTATACAAGCATCGAAGCACTTTATCATACATGTATTAAATGTTTTAAACGTTAATAGGTGTTAGACTGTATTGCGTGTTCAAATCATCTTATCATTTGTCATGTCATTCATAAATGCATAGTTTGATAAAACCTATAATATGTATAATCATCATATGGTATAATTATTAGATGTTTCTTCAAAGGCTATAACATTTGGCTACAATTCATTAGATGATGTATTCTTAAGACGTTTTGCTTGATATAACACTAGTATAAAAATTTGTTTTAGCTTTAGTGTTATAAAGATATAGACTTCCTCATTCATAAGACGTTAGCTTGTTACTCATATAGTCTCTTAGATAATTCTAAAGAGAGACACTTTCTTTTCTTAGACGTTGTTCATTACTTTGGTTCATTAGATAATTTGGTATAGAAAGCGTTATTTAAACGATACCAAATATTTCTTTCTTTAAACACCATTTTTTTAAACAACTTTTCAGGGACATCAATATTTCGTTTAAAACTTTTTATTAAACTTCAAAACTTGGGTTGATTAGATGGTCAATTCTCTAGATGATATTGTCTTAACACAATAGAGTAAGTTGGTACATGCTTGATTGTATGTAAAAATATTTTTAAACCAAAGCACTAAGGGGAAAGTATCAAATTGATAAATTGAACATGTCAAATTCTCTTTATCACAACATTCTTTTTCAAGTTTTTGATATAGTGTTAAGCTATAGCAGAATGGCTTTGAACGCCAATTCTTTTAGTTAGGTCTGGAAGCATTTTAGCTCCAGAACGCCGAGTGCCAGAATGTACCACTGAGTGTCGCGTTTTGCAAATGCTTTGGTGTTAAGCGTAGAAGGAAACATGTGAAACATTAAATTGAATTAATAAAAAATGTAATACAACGCGTTCCACTGCTTCCCAGACTTGGTCCACATTCATTCTTCATCAAATTCACCATTTCCACAAAAATACATTATGATAATTGATTATCACTTTTGATAATCGATTATGTCAATGAAAATTACCCAAAAACATCACGCAAGATGGGATAATTGATTATCACTTAAGATAATATATTATTCCCACAACCAGACTCAACATTGAGACNCCACCTAAAACTAAAAAAGAACAATTGACAAATAAACACAAAAGAACACAATCTGATGAATATTGTGAACTTAAACAAATTCCAAGGCCTAAACACTCATCAATGGTAAAGTAAGAATTTAAAAAAGGCATGAAGTATTTTATTTTGCAGAAACCCCAAAACCCCTATTGGAAGAAAGGAGAACGACCCATTGGCCAAAGGGCTTAAAAATCGAAACTTGATGGCAAATTAGGGAATCAAAGATATTGGGTACGGAGGTAAAGAAGAATAAAAGGAGAAAAGAAAACGCACAACGTAGCGCTGGTAGAACTTGCGCTTGAAGTGGGAAACAACGTCGTTACGAGAGGCCATGTGCGGAGGGATGAGGACGTTGCTCCAGTAATCAGGCCATCGAGAGTCATTGTCGTAGTCGTACGAATCCGCCGCTATTCGCTTCAGCCTCTGTGTATCTTCTCTCTCTTCTCCCATTTTTCCACACTCTTCTTCGGCTGATTCTGTTTCAACACCACACAGTCTGTAATTCCTTAGATATATTTGGTCATTTTCTTATGGTAAACGCACACAGCAGTGTCATATAGTCTGGGTTTCATTTAAAATGTACACTAATACATAGACCCATAATTATAAATTATATTTTATTTAGTCTAATTTTTCACCAAAATGAATTAAGGTGTATTTTAATCTCCATTAATAATTAAAATAATATTATTTTAAAAATATTGTAATAGGTATATTTAATTTTAAAAGCAGATTTTATTATTTGCCAATTATTATAATTTAGAACTTATTAGTGAAAATTATTTATTTTATATTTAATGTAATGATTTAGAAAATTATATTTCAGAATTCATAATAGTTCAAAAATAATGATTCGATTATTTTAATAATAAAATGGGTTATATAGATAAAAAAAATTTATAAATTGAGTTTTATTATTTTAAAATACATTTCTTTAAATCATTTTTATTAAAGTTTTTGTCTTCTTTTTCCGTTTTTCCACCATTCGTTCGTCTTATTAAAGATTCAAAATTATGAGATTGATATCGCGATGAGTTGTTTAATTTGAATTCATAGTTTTTCGTTTGAGTAAGTTGGTTTTATGTTTTTTTTTAATCCAATTTATTTTTTTTTGTATGTGTCATGTTAGTCTTCTATTCGACTTTATATTCAATAATGATATAATGGTAGATCCTCATTGTTTTTACTATGTTTCTTTATGTAGATAGAGTATCTTATGAGTTTGGAGATATTGAGCTATCTTATAAGTGTTTAAACAATTTGGTCAGGTGAGGGGAGCTAAATTTGCGATTTTTATATGTTGTTCTATGTTGTAATTATTAGTTGTAATTTGCATGTGTTGCTAGAATGAATTGGGGATAAAATTGGTTTTTTCTACGAAATTTGGTTTGGTATGTAAAATTAATGTGAATTGGATGAAAACTATACGTTTGAGTGGTTGTGATTGATTGTAACATTTGACGGGTTTTCAAAAGATTAACAAATAAAATATAAGTTCAGATGAAGATGTTTTAAAAAGGATTTTGTGAAAGCGTTCAGATGAAGATTACAACGCGTTCCACTGCTTCCCAGACTTGGTCCACATTCATTCTTCATCAAATTCACCATTTCCACAAAAATACATTGTGATAATTGATTATCACTTTTGATAATCGATTATCTCAATGAAAATTACCCAAAAACATCACGCAAGATGGGATAATTGATTATCACTTAAGATAATATATTATTCCCACAACCAGACTCAACATTGAGACATAGATAATCAATTATCAGTTGAGATAATCGATTATTGCCGAAACGAAACACTTCCTAGACATGATTCAAACATTCAAACATAAATACATAAACCCTAATGTCCAAGTCTCAAAACCAAATCTAATCATTAAACATCAATTACCAAACAATAAATGTTCAAATCTCATAACTACATTAGTCCCTAATTACCTCATTTTCCTAGGGTCTTACAATGTAAGTGTTTTGTATTCAATTCAGTTCCAATTTTCGTTAATTTTGTTCAATTTAGTAAAATATTTCGTTAATTTTTTTTAATTTAGTCCCAATTTTAAATTTTAGAAGGAAAATTCTTCATTTCTTTAAAATTAAAAGAACAAATTCTTTATTAATTTTAAAATTAAAACAAAAATTCTTCATTATTTTTAAAATTAGAAGGAAAATTCTTTATTATTTTTAAAATTAGAAGGAAAATTCTTCATTATTTTTAAAATTAGAAGAAAAATTATACATTATTTTTAAAATTCAAAGGAAAATTTTTCATTATTTTAGAAATTAAAAGGAAAGTTCTTCATTACTTTTAAAATTATAAGAAAAATTCTTCATTATTAGAAGAAGAATTCTAATTTATTTCTAAAATTTGAAGGAAAATTGTACTTTATTTTTTAAATTAGGAGGACAATTCTCTACTATTTTTAAAATTAGAAGCAAAATTTTTCAATATTTTTAAACCAACTATATTTTAATTTTTACCTGTAAAAAAATAAAATAAAAATATAATAATCATATTTCAATGTTATAGTGAGAGTTGGTTTAAAATAATGAAAAAATATTCAATAAAAATGTGAATTTTAATAAAACTTAAATTTAATCACAATAAAGAAACAAAATTGAAGTAAATGAAATCAAATTAATAAAAATTGAAACTAAATGAATAAAGTTAATGAAAATTAAAATCCAATATAAAACACGTAAGAATGACTTGACACGTGACTTAATATTAAACATTCGAAAAACAAATTTTACATTTAAAAATAGAGAATAAAATAACATTTAAGTCTTAAATTTTATAAAAGTAAAAGATCCTAGAAACTAAAATGAAAAACAAACTAGTTCAAGAAGAATAGATCGAAGTCTTCAAAATAGTATAATTTTGTCATAAGTTTCACGACAGCATGGAGGGGAGAGTACATAAAATCCGATTCCTATTATCTGAATCAGACCATTACAAAAGAAAGCGTGAAAATCCAGTTGCTTTGAATCCATTTCCGTGTCCATCTGCACCACCCGCTATATATAAATACATATATATAAATACATATATATATATATATATATATATATATATATATATATTTATTATAGATATATTTGCTTATGTAACAAAATCAACGTTGGCGCTTCATAACATACAAAACCAATGCAATAATTTACTCTTTTCCGATCCGATACACCCTCCGATTTCTCAGCCTACGCCGGCGATGGCCACCCTCTCCAATCGCCGCCGCACGCTCCCGCAGGATGACACTGACGCCCAGGTGATAACTGCAGACTCCGTTTCCACCAACTACCGCACGATGCCCTGCCTTGTCACCGGAAAAACCGTGCTCCAGCCTCACCTAGCTCGGCAAGAATCTTTACGCCGAAACATTGGCCACGTCGCTGCAGAAACCTACTTGATTACTCGCCTCGCCATCACGCTTCTTCGCTACCTCGGGTGAGTGCGTCAAATTTCAGTAATCTCTTCGCTTATTTGTTATTTGTTTTTTCCTACAATCTCTCGAATTATTATTTGCATATAATATGACTTTCTTTTATTATTGTAATTTCGCTTCAGCTATTGTCTGTTTTACGCAATTACAAATTGTTGTTCAAGAACTGCGAATAATTAGTTCTCAAACATCCCCTATAGTTCTTTGTGCCTTGTGGCATGTCTGATTTTCTGTTGATACATTGTTCAGGATTGGTTACCGTTGGATTACACAATTACTTGCTCTTGGATGTTATGCCTTGCTACTCATGCCCGGTTTTTTGCAAGGTTTGCTTAATATAATTGTGATTTTCTCTTTTCTTATCATCAATAATGAAAATGTTAAGCTCTGAATTTACTTTGGAAGCTTCCAACAATGGATAGATCATCATAAATATTCTTATGCATTCTGTTTACTTATGCTCAATGACAATCTGACTGCCATTCCTGACACTTGGCTCTTTTATATTACATGTTACTGTTTTTCCTTCCACTTGGGGAGGTGTGCGAAATTTCACACACATATTATGTATCCAGCAATATTAATAGAAGGAAAATGTTTTTTTAACAACTTTTTTTTTATGACCTCTTTTTATAAAGCTTATGTGGTAGCTTGTGATTGGTTTGTTTTAAATATACAAACTAATAAAATAGTGACACATAATTTACCGTAAAAAAGTTAACATATCATGATCTTTAATAGAAAATGAATCTTTTTATTTTTGTTTTCTTTCTCTTACTTTTGACTTTCTGCAGTTGCATATTACTATTTCTCCTCACCCAAGGTAAAGCGAAGCCTTGTTTATGGAGATCAGCCTAGAAACAGGTAAATTAAAACACTGGTAATACATGTCGTGAGGTTGGTCATTTAATGTATTGTTGCTTGATAGTCATGTAAATTGTGGTTTTTAAGGTTCGTTCTATATCTACCAGCCAATATCTTGGGATGTTGATCATTTAATGTACTGTGTGCCTGATAGTCATGTAAATTGTGGTTTTTCAGGTTCGATCTGTATCTACCATCTGATATTGGTAAACCTAACCCAGTTTTGATATTTGTAACTGGGGGAGCATGGATTATTGGGTGAGTAGTTTGAAATGTCTACATGGCTTTGCTTTCATGTTTTAATTTTCTCTTTGTATAGTGTTGATTCTTATTCAGTACATGCAACAGTAATTCATTTTCAAGTCACAAGCAGTTTTATCTATGGGTGAAGTCTTAGCAAAAAGCAACTGCAAGCTGTTGATGATGCTTTGAAACATACTACGACATTCTTCGGTTATGGGGGTATTATGATATATTGGAGTAAAGAATATATTCTTTTCTCTCTTTGTAATGTTCCGTTACACTAGCACAATATTCCCCAGAGTTTGCTATTTCTAGCTGTCTCTTTTTAGTGATCCTGTTTTGCTGTTTTGGTCTTTTTTCTTTCAAGGCTAGCTACTATAAATACTCCCTTTGTACTATGCTTTACCTGTTCCAGAAATAATAAAACATTATGTTGAATATTACGGTTTTAACTTTTCTCTAAGTTGGTATCTTAGCATTTCATCCTCACGGCAACATTTAACTTTTTTTAACCTTGGCTATTTCTTTTCGGTCGTGGCTACTGCTAATCCCACTGCTTCTGCACCTTATTCCTTTTCCACTTCCCTTGCTGAAAACCTTGATGACTCCAACTATCTTCGTTGGCCTCCACAAGTTGAACCCATTATTAAAACACATTGAGTTCACCATTCATTGCTTGTCTTAGAATTCCTCCACTATATCTCTCTAATCAAGATATTGATCTTGTGAATCCACCATATGAAGTTTGGGAAGTTTAGTATCAAATGCTTTTTACATGGCTTCAATCAACATAATTAAATTCTCTTTTGCGTTAATATTTTGAGAAAATCCTACCATTTGGGACATGATTCATGAGTACTTTCATCTTTAGACAAAAACTTGAGCTTGACAACTTCGTCCTGATACTATGTATCTCTTGATGGCAAGATGATGCGAGATTTTTTATCTCACATCAAACCATTGTTAATAACTTGAGGGTATACTCTGTTCTGCTTGAAGAGAATGTTGATGCCGTATCCTTGGAGATTTACCACCTGAGTGTGCACCACTCATTTCTATTATTAAAAGCAAGTTCATTACTACTTTTGTTACTAAAGTGGACACTCTTCTTGCTCATGAATCTTGTGCCACCCGATTTAACAAGAAATCCTTCTTTCCTGCTCTTAACTACACTCAAGGATATGTACCAACTACTTCACTAATAGTGGTTATGCTCATGCTAGTGGAGGCCAAGGCGACACCATCGGTGGGGATGGTGGTTTTACTCGAGGTCATGGTGAACACTTTGCAAATATTCCATGCCAAATCTGTTTGATAATGGCCATACTGCTAACATTTGCTTCTATAGGTATGATGCAACTTATCAACCACTTGTATCTCTTCTTTTCTATGATCATTCCACATTGCATCATGTCTAGCTCAATCCTTCTCAGGCTAACACCAAAATACCTAACAATTGGGTGAATCCTAATTTAAAGAATTTCAATCAAGATAACATTATGTTTGACTTTCTGTTTGTGGCACCATTTACATTTCCATAAGATGTCATTTTCAATGAACAACAGTTTCCCTACTGTGTTCTTTTTGAGCAAAGTCCTGCCAAGAATAGTTTGTGGTCTGACTATTTTCATAATACTCCAGATATATCGTCTCTTGTTCTTCCTATGGCACCGTCACAACATCCTTTTTTCTTCTGATGCTAGTCATCATCTTGGTGACCATCATCCTTGATCTGTGTCACCCACTAATCCTCCTGTCCTTGACCTGTTAATGTTTAACCCATGCAAGCCAAGTCCAAGTTTGTATTACTTAATCCGTGTCTTCATCCCTTGTTGTTTCCACCTTAATTCTCACTACAGTATCTTAAAAGGAACCACCTTGCATGGTCTTCTCATGAAATCTGCTGCAGTAGGTAGACCTCTTTCTGTCACTGCACTATGTGATGCTGATTGGACCTCTAACATTGATGACAACAGATCCACCTCTGGCCCATATTTTTTTAAAGTCTAATTTAATCTCTTGGTGATCCTGTACACAATAAGTTATAGCTAGGTCTAGTATGGAAGCTCTGAAACCACAGCTGAGTTAACTTGGATTCAAGCTTTGCTACAAGAACTGTGTGTTCCCTTTTCTACTCCGATCTTACTCTGTGACAATCAAAGTACAGCGGTCATTGATCAAAACCTTGTTTTAACAGTTACGCTAAACATTTGGAAGTTGATGTCTTCTTTGTTCATGATAAATTTCTCTCCAAACAAATTCAGGTTTATCATATTCTAGCCTTGGATCAACGGGCAGATTTTCTGATGAAGCCATTTTCTCCAACTAGATTTACTTTGGTCAAAGACAAACTCAATGTGACTGATATTTCTCATGCAATTGGACTTTGAGTTTGAGGGGGGCTATTAGGATATATCAGAGTAAAGAATATAAAAGATATTTTTTTTCTCTCTCCGTACCTTTCCATTACATTAGCACAATATTCCCCTTTATTTTATTATTTCCTGTCCCTTTTTGGTGATTCTCTTTTGGCTTTTCGGTCTTTCTGCTTTCAGGGGTAGCTACTCTCCCTCTGTATTTTTCTTTACGTGTTACATAACTAATAAAATGTTAAATCTTTTTATTATGGTTTTATCCTTTTTCTAAGAGGGGGTCGACAAAATACTACAAGTGGTTATGATGAATTGTTGCTTCAATTTTGAAATTGAATTTTAGAAATTTACTGACTTGAATGATTTGGTTCATGTCACACTTTGTGATGCCATAATATAGTTGGTCTCCTGCACCATGGCATGGCTAGAATTTTAGTTTATGCGTGTATGTAAACCTATTCAGCAATCTTTTATCTCTTAGAAGTTGAAATAATTGCGTTGGGTTTTGATTTAGGTATAAAGCATGGGGTTCCCTTTTAGGACTACAGTTGGCAGAACGAGGCATTATAGTGGCATGCTTAGATTACAGGTACCTGGTCTCAGTTCAGCAGTGCAAGATTGAGTCTACAATTTACATTTGGTCTGACTTGCTCTATGTTTGAGGTATTTTTATGGACAAATTGGGTTTTTTTATGTCTATTTCTAGGACATTTAGTCCGGGAAATTCATAAATGATAACTACAAGGGTGCTTGTATCACACAATGTCCTGAACTTAATAGTTTTGAATATGCACATTTTAATTCATAATTTGTTTTTAAGTTAGAAATATAGTACATCACATTTATTATTAGCATTTCGGTAATTGAAATCTTAATCTTATAGTTGTTCCAAAGGACGAGATTTCTTTTACGCAATGTTACAACTTAGTTATATAATAATAAAGGGTACAAACAAGATAATTGTTACATCTAGTTTTCGAATAAAATGCTATGTTTAGCATTTAATAAATTTTTGTTTTTTTTTTTGAGTGTAGAAATTTTCCTCAAGGGACTATCAGTGACATGATAAATGATACTTGTCAGGGAATTTCCTTTATCATCAACAACATAGCTAAATATGGAGGTGACCCTAATAGGTGGAGTGCTACTATGATACAAGATTCCTTTTCGTCATATATTTGGACATTCAACAATGAGATTGATCTATTAATTTTTTTTTTAAATAACTATATAACAGAGTTTATCTAATGGGACAATCTGCCGGTGCTCATATTTCCTCTTGCGCTTTACTGGAGCAAGCAGCCAGAGAATCAAATAAAGGAGAGAATGTTTCTTGGAGCATTTCGCAGATCAAAGCTTATTTTGGTTTATCTGGAGGGTAAGACACTTTGGTTAGTGTTTCATCTATATCTTGAATTTTGTTGAAATGGTGAATTTCAACAAGTATATGTTCATTCTAGATTGTCTAGAACATATCGATGCATTTCCTTCGTAGAATTTTTGTCCTTTAATTTCGAAGTTATTTTTTATACTAAGATGCGCCTTAAGAAAAGTGGAAAACTTAACTTCTCATTCACATGATCACTGTTGCTTAACGGTTATGAATATTGGACAACAAAGGGCTAGAATGTTGCACAATGGAAATGTTGTATTCCATGAGTGGTCAAACCAGAAAGATAAGAAGAGAAAAGAACGTGTTTTTGAAAAATTAGGAAAGTCTTATGCAGGAAAAGTGTAGAACCACTCCCTAAATATTTAACACAAGAAAGTAATACCAATAGAAGCCCAAATTAGAAGAGTTTGACCGAAAATCTCCCAATTAAAAGGTAAAATATGAAAATCTCCCAAGTGAAAACCCTTGATAAGGATCCAAAAATAAATGGTGCTTCGTGCATGGTTTGCTCTCATTGGGTCGTTGTAAGCTGCTCTCTTGTGGCTAAGGTGTTTTGATCTGTTCTACACTTTGTTCTAGTTTAAATTATATAAACTATTTTTCTTTTTAATTTTTAATTGAAAATTAGAATTAGGAATTAAGAAATTGTAATACTTTAATTATTTAATAATTATAGAATATGTTTTTAAATTTTGTAATAGAAAATTGAAATTAGGGAGCAATTTAAGGCATCTCTGGGGTGGATCAAATTCTATCGAGATATTTAAGGAAGTTTCAGATTTAGTTCCTGTTAGTTTTAATTTTATATGACTTGTAACTTGGTTTTATTACTAGCATTTCAATCCCACAATCTCAGATTTATTTCCTAGAATGGGCTGTGCTTGTGTCCTAATTATCCAATCAATGTATGTGTATATATCATATATATGTTGGCACCAAATAAGAAAAATTATTTTCTTCTAATTTTGAGATGGTATCAGAAATGCATCAGATTTATTTCCTAGAATGGGCTGTGCTTGTGTCCTAATTATCCAATCAATGTATGTGTATATATCATATATATGTTGGCACCAAATAAGAAAAATTATTTTCTTCTAATTTTGAGATGGTATCAGAAATGCATCAGATTTATTTCCTAGAATGGGCTGTGCTTGTGTCCTAATTATCCAATCAATGTATGTGTATATATCATATATATGTTGGCACCAAATAAGAAAAATTATTTTCTTCTAATTTTGAGATGGTATCAGAAATGCACCTTATGTTTGTTCCTGTGCTCACATATGATTGGAACAATGCGAAATTAGTGAGATCGTCTTATAGGACTATGAAGGTCTATTTTAGGAGGAAGGTTGTTAAAAATAAAACATAGGTTTTTAGGTGGTTTGGGTTGCTATAGTCTCCTTAGTGGGAAGACTATATATGGGTAGGGGCGTGTCTTTTAGAGGACACTTTTTTGTTAATTCAAGAGGCTGGACAGGATTAGTGACCTTCTATGTGAAGGGAAACATTTCCCTCGGTTGTATTTGTGTACTTTGCTGGTGTTGGAATAATAGCTTTGTTTCCAGTGCTGAGTATTGACAAAATTGGTGTTTGTGGGTGTAAAACTGAACGTTATCGGTTCCTTGCAATCAAGAAACCTAACATTGTCACTGGTGTTTACCCGTCGGCCTTTGAACAACCTTGTCCTCAAGGTTGAAATCCGGGAATTGGACTCTCATGGTCGGCTTATCCTCCCATGTAGCAGCTTCCGATCCCTCTCCCTGCCACTCAATGAGCACCTGTGGCACTGCCTCTCCGTGCAACTGAATGGTCCTTCTTTCCAACATTTTGAGGGGATTACATACTGGTCTTCCTTCTTGTAAATCTTCCGGTAGCTTCCTCTCAACTTGGTGGGTCCCCACCGCCAGTTTGAGTTGAGATACATGGAAAACAGAGTGTATACGGGCTGTCTTTGGCAGCTGTAACCTGAACGCCACTGGTCCCACCTATTTTATCACTTGGAAAGGGCTGTAATACCTTGCTGGCAGCTTGGGATGTAATCTGGTAGGCATGGAGGCTTGCCTATGGGTCTGATCTTCAAATAAACCCAGTTCCCCTCCTTGAACACTGATGGGCTGCATTTTCTGTTGGAAAATTTGGCCATGGTCTTACGCCCTTTCTAGATGATACTGCAACTGCTTAAGGGCCTCATCCCTATGTTGTAGCTCTTGTGCCACTACTTCCACTTCTGTTTCACCTGGCACAAAGCTAGGGACGGAGGAGCTCTCCCATACACTATTTCAAAGGGAGTGCACTTGGCCACACTTTGGTAGCTGGTGTTATACCAGTATTCTGCCCATGGGAACACATAGCTCCAGTTTTTGGGCTTTCCGAACTAAAACACCTTAAATAGGTCTCTAAAGTCCTATTTAAAACTTTTTTCTGGCCAGTACTCATCAACAACTTTGTGCCCTGTAATCTAAACAACTCCTTCTAGAGCAGACTAAGGAAGGTTGGATCCCTGTCACTAACTATCGAGGAGGGTATTCCATGTAGTTTTACTATGTCCCTCACGAAAGCCTCTGCAATAGTCTTGGCTGAATAAGGGTGCTTGATCCATGATGAAGATCCTAATATTCTTTTCTGGACACTTGTGGCCTGGCTAGAAGGATCACCACAGTGAAAACATCTTCCCTCTTCCCTTCTCCGGATATATTTTGGGTATGGAAGATTCCTTATCCCCCTGCTTCTATTGTCTCCTACTGAATTACTTCTTATCTTGGAACTCACTGTGGTATTAACACCTTCCTTGCGGTGCTTATGTTACTCTTAGTGCCCTGTCCACTTTTTGCCCTTCTGTGCGTCTCTGTTCTGGACACAGCCCCAATCCCTCCTTGATATCTTCTAAAAGATTGAGTTCCCCTATTGGTCCCTCCCTTGTCCTGTCTGGGATCTTCTGTAACCTCCTCTACATCCTTGGCTATCTCCATAGCCCTTAGCAATTCTCTGGGTTGTGGGCCCTAATTTGGCTCCTAATATTCCCTTGCAAACCCGCATAGAAATGTCCCAATAGCTGCTCCTCTGTCAACTCAGTGGCTTGCGCCACTAGCCTCTCAAATTCTTGAATATAATCCTCCATAAACCCATTTTGCCTTATTGCTGCCAGTTTTTCAAACACAGTGGATCTCTCTCTTCCTCCAAACCTTATCAGAGCCTCTGTTAGATCCTCCCAAGAAGGATTCTTGGTCTTCTTTTTCCAGAATTGGAACCAATAGCTGGCTCCTCCCTCCATACTAATGAAGGCCAACCTTATCTTTTCTTTTGCTGAAATGTTTTGAATTTCGAAAAAGTTCTCTGCTCTACATATCCAGCCCACTGGATGAGCCCCTTCAAATATAGGTAATTCTATTCTCTTCATCCAGCATTTCTTTAATTCCACTTTTTCTTCTTCCATCTCCTCCTCCAACTCATCCCATCTTCCCCTTCTTTCCCCATTAACCGACCCTTGACCGCCCTTCGAACTACCTTCCGAGTTCTTTGTTTTTTTCATGAGAACCTTGATCATATCCATGAGTTCTTGATGTCTTTCTCTGGTCTCCTCCCGTAAATCGTCCAAGGACCTTCCTTGTTTGCTGACCATTCTTTCTAGTGTGGTCATTCTCCCTTCCATGATTGCCCCCTTTAGAGATTCGGTAGGTTGGACCACTTTGATAGGTTTCTTGGCAGTAAGAAACCCAAGATACCCTTGGTTAGCACTCAACACACATAATTCCCAAAAGCAGTAAACTGTATTGATTTCTGAAGAACAAAAGACAATGTTCAATAGCTACCAAGGAAGCAATCCTTCCTTCACACAGGATGTATTGTTCCTGTCAAACACTAACAAATAAAATGTGTCCCCCCTTGAGACACTCCCCCCCCTTTATAGCTAACACCTTAACCCCAACATACCTACCCCAACAACCTAACTAACTTTCCCTCCTCCTAACCACCATCATGTCTTGTTTATAATTCTCTTCCTCCTTTCATATACCCTTAGGGTCCTATCAAATACTTATTACTTAGGGTCCTATCAAATACTTCCTCCTCTCATATACCCTTGAGACGGTCCAGTCTTATAGATAATCTTGTCTTAACATAATGTTGTCATCATCAATGATGTAGGTGAGGGTAACAATCCTTTATTATCCAACAAGTTTTCAATAAAAGCAATAAAAGTCATTTGTTATTTTAAATTCAGTGCAATATTGTTTTATATTAGCCATATCACCTCACATTTCTTAACACATGAAGACAAAAAAGCAAGATGATGGAACAGGAGAATAGTCATATCATCCAATTAACACAAAAATGACANTTTTTTTTTTGAGTGTAGAAATTTTCCTCAAGGGACTATCAGTGACATGATAAATGATACTTGTCAGGGAATTTCCTTTATCATCAACAACATAGCTAAATATGGAGGTGACCCTAATAGGTGGAGTGCTACTATGATACAAGATTCCTTTTCGTCATATATTTGGACATTCAACAATGAGATTGATCTATTAATTTTTTTTTTAAATAACTATATAACAGAGTTTATCTAATGGGACAATCTGCCGGTGCTCATATTTCCTCTTGCGCTTTACTGGAGCAAGCAGCCAGAGAATCAAATAAAGGAGAGAATGTTTCTTGGAGCATTTCGCAGATCAAAGCTTATTTTGGTTTATCTGGAGGGTAAGACACTTTGGTTAGTGTTTCATCTATATCTTGAATTTTGTTGAAATGGTGAATTTCAACAAGTATATGTTCATTCTAGATTGTCTAGAACATATCGATGCATTTCCTTCGTAGAATTTTTGTCCTTTAATTTCGAAGTTATTTTTTATACTAAGATGCGCCTTAAGAAAAGTGGAAAACTTAACTTCTCATTCACATGATCACTGTTGCTTAACGGTTATGAATATTGGACAACCAAGGGCTAGAATGTTGCACAATGGAAATGTTGTATTCCATGAGTGGTCAAACCAGAAAGATAAGAAGAGAAAAGAACGTGTTTTTGAAAAATTAGGAAAGTCTTATGCAGGAAAAGTGTAGAACCACTCCCTAAATATTTAACACAAGAAAGTAATACCAATAGAAGCCCAAATTAGAAGAGTTTGACCGACAATCTCCCAATTAAAAGGTAAAATATGAAAATCTCCCAAGTGAAAACCCTTGATAAGGATCCAAAAATAAATGGTGCTTCGTGCATGGTTTGCTCTCATTGGGTCGTTGTAAGCTGCTCTCTTGTGGCTAAGGTGTTTTGATCTGTTCTACACTTTGTTCTAGTTTAAATTATATAAACTATTTTTCTTTTTAATTTTTAATTGAAAATTAGAATTAGGAATTAAGAAATTGTAATACTTTAATTATTTAATAATTATAGAATATGTTTTTAAATTTTGTAATAGAAAATTGAAATTAGGGAGCAATTTAAGGCATCTCTGGGGTGGATCAAATTCTATCGAGATATTTAAGGAAGTTTCAGATTTAGTTCCTGTTAGTTTTAATTTTGTATGACTTGTAACTTGGTTTTATTACTAGCATTTCAATCCCACAATCTCAGATTTATTTCCTAGAATGGGCTGTGCTTGTGTCCTAATTATCCAATCAATGTATGTGTATATATCATATATATGTTGGCACCAAATAAGAAAAATTATTTTCTTCTAATTTTGAGATGGTATCAGAAATGCATCAGATTTATTTCCTAGAATGGGCTGTGCTTGTGTCCTAATTATCCAATCAATGTATGTGTATATATCATATATATGTTGGCACCAAATAAGAAAAATTATTTTCTTCTAATTTTGAGATGGTATCAGAAATGCACCTTATGTTTGTTCCTGTGCTCACATATGATTGGAACAATGCGAAATTAGTGAGATCGTCTTATAGGACTATGAAGGTCTATTTTAGGAGGAAGGTTGTTAAAAATAAAACATAGGTTTTTAGGTGGTTTGGGTTGCTATAGTCTCTGTTACGATATAAGGTAGGGGTAATAATAAGGGTTGGAAAGTATATGAGCAGAGAGAATATTTAGTATAAGTTAATTAGAGTATATAAATATAGTATAAGTTAATTAGAGTAAATAAATATATATTTAGGGAAATATTCAATATAAGATATTTATAATTAAGGATATATGATAGGATAATATACGGAGAGATATTTATATTAAATATAGGGATATTTATATTAAATATTAAATATAAGGATATTTATATTAAATGCAGAGAAATATTTAATAAGAGATGGGCGGGAAATAATTAATATAAATAAGGTTAGAGTCTAGGGTTAAAGGGGATGCTTTTGATTATTTTGTGACAGACATTATTGTCTTGTGAGAGAGGTTATGCTCTCAAAGTAATTGAAGGAGGTTATGCTCCCAATTATTGTTTACCCTTGTTTATTCAGATATTACCATCAATAAAAGAGATTCATTCATCCATTGTTATTCGTTTATTATTCTATTACGCGTGTTTATTGTTCTATTACGTGTGAGAGAGTGTGAAAGGTTGTATTTGGATAGTTTACGGTACTCAGGTACGTAACAGTCTCCTTAGTGGGAAGACTATATATGGGTAGGGGCGTGTCTTTTAGAGGACACTTTTTTGTTAATTCAAGAGGCTGGACAGGATTAGTGACCTTCTATGTGAAGGGAAACATTTCCCTCGGTTGTATTTGTGTACTTTGCTGGTGTTGGAATAATAGCTTTGTTTCCAGTGCTGAGTATTGACAAAATTGGTGTTTGTGGGTGTAAAACTGAACGTTATCGGTTCCTTGCAATCAAGAAACCTAACATTGTCACTGGTGTTTACCCGTCGGCCTTTGAACAACCTTGTCCTCAAGGTTGAAATCCGGGAATTGGACTCTCATGGTCGGCTTATCCTCCCATGTAGCAGCTTCCGATCCCTCTCCCTGCCACTCAATGAGCACCTGTGGCACTGCCTCTCCGTGCAACTGAATGGTCCTTCTTTCCAACATTTTGAGGGGATTACATACTGGTCTTCCTTCTTGTAAATCTTCCGGTAGCTTCCTCTCAACTTGGTGGGTCCCCACCGCCAGTTTGAGTTGAGATACATGGAAAACAGAGTGTATACGGGCTGTCTTTGGCAGCTGTAACCTGAACGCCACTGGTCCCACCTATTTTATCACTTGGAAAGGGCTGTAATACCTTGCTGGCAGCTTGGGATGTAATCTGGTAGGCATGGAGGCTTGCCTATGGGTCTGATCTTCAAATAAACCCAGTTCCCCTCCTTGAACACTGATGGGCTGCATTTTCTGTTGGAAAATTTGGCCATGGTCTTACGCCCTTTCTAGATGATACTGCAACTGCTTAAGGGCCTCATCCCTATGTTGTAGCTCTTGTGACACTACTTCCACTTCTGTTTCACCTGGCACAAAGCTAGGGACGGAGGAGCTCTCCCATACACTATTTCAAAGGGAGTGCACTTGGCCACACTTTGGAAGCTGGTGTTATACCAGTATTCTGCCCATGGGAACACATAGCTCCAGTTTTTGGGCTTTCCGAACTAAAACACCTTAAATAGGTCTCTAAAGTCCTATTTAAAACTTTTTTCTAGCCAGTACTCATCAACAACTTTGTGCCCTGTAATCTAAACAACTCCTTCTAGAGCAGACTAAGGAAGGTTGGATCCCTGTCACTAACTATCGAGGAGGGTATTCCATGTAGTTTTACTATGTCCCTCACGAAAGCCTCTGCAATAGTCTTGGCTGAATAAGGGTGCTTGATCCATGATGAAGATCCTAATATTCTTTTCTGGACACTTGTGGCCTGGCTAGAAGGATCACCACAGTGAAAACATCTTCCCTCTTCCCTTCTCCGGATATATTTTGGGTATGGAAGATTCCTTATCCCCCTGCTTCTAATGTCTCCTACTGAATTACTTCTTATCTTGGAACTCACTGTGGTATTAACACCTTCCTTGCGGTGCTTATGTTACTCTTAGTGCCCTGTCCACTTTTTGCCCTTCTGTGCGTCTCTGTTCTGGACACAGCCCCAATCCCTCCTTGATATCTTCTAAAAGATTGAGTTCCCCTATTGGTCCCTCCCTTGTCCTGTCTGGGATCTTCTGTAACCTCCTCTACATCCTTGGCTATCTCCATAGCCCTTAGCAATTCTCTGGGTTGTGGGCCCTAATTTGGCTCCTAATATTCCCTTGCAAACCCGCATAGAAATGTCCCAATAGCTGCTCCTCTGTCAACTCAGTGGCTTGCGCCACTAGCCTCTCAAATTCTTGAATATAATCCTCCATAAACCCATTTTGCCTTATTGCTGCCAGTTTTTCAAACACAGTGGATCTCTCTCTTCCTCCAAACCTTATCAGAGCCTCTGTTAGATCCTCCCAAGAAGGATTCTTGGTCTTCTTTTTCCAGAATTGGAACCAATAGCTGGCTCCTCCCTCCATACTAATGAAGGCCAACCTTATCTTTTCTTTTGCTGAAATGTTTTGAATTTCGAAAAAGTTCTCTGCTCTAAATATCCAGCCCACTGGATGAGCCCCTTCAAATATAGGTAATTCTATTCTCTTCATCCAGCATTTCTTTAATTCCACTTTTTCTTCTTCCATCTCCTCCTCCAACTCATCCCATCTTCCCCTTCTTTCCCCATTAACCAACCCATGACAGCCCTTCGAACTACCTTCCGAGTTCTTTGTTTTTTTCATGAGAACCTTGATCATATCCATGAGTTCTTGATGTCTTTCTCTGGTCTCCTCCCGTAAATCGTCCAAGGACCTTCCTTGTTTGCTGACCATTCTTTCTAGTGTGGTCATTCTCCCTTCCATGATTGCCCCCTTAAGAGATTCGGTAGGTTGGACCACTTTGATAGGTTTCTTGGCAGTAAGAAACCCAAGATACCCTTGGTTAGCACTCAACACACATAATTCCCAAAAGCAGTAAACTGTATTGATTTCTGAAGAACAAAAGACAATGTTCAATAGCTACCAAGGAAGCAATCCTTCCTTCACACAGGATGTATTGTTCCTGTCAAACACTAACAAATAAAATGTGTCCCCCCTTGAGACACTCCCCCCCCTTTATAGCTAACACCTTAACCCCAACATACCTACCCCAACAACCTAACTAACTTTCCCTCCTCCTAACCACCATCATGTCTTGTTTATAATTCTCTTCCTCCTTTCATATACCCTTAGGGTCCTATCAAATACTTATTACTTAGGGTCCTATCAAATACTTCCTCCTCTCATATACCCTTGAGACGGTCCAGTCTTATAGATAATCTTGTCTTAACATAATGTTGTCATCATCAATGATGTAGGTGAGGGTAACAATCCTTTATTATCCAACAAGTTTTCAATAAAAGCAATAAAAGTCATTTGTTATTTTAAATTCAGTGCAATATTGTTTTATATTAGCCATATCACCTCACATTTCTTAACACATGAAGACAAAAAAGCAAGATGATGGAACAGGAGAATAGTCATATCATCCAATTAACACAAAAATGACAGCAACTCTATTAAAAGATATTAAATGTTTTAGTACTCAATAGTCCAATAAAATTTAATAGGGATTCGATTAAAATTACTCAAATTTATGAGGGATTTAGAACTTAATTAAGCATTTTTTTTTACCTATTTTTCTTAATTACAATATTAAAATATTAAATTAGTATGTTATTTGTATAATTTTTTTCTTATGAAGGAAACTCTTACAAGTCAAGTTGACGGAGCTTCAACAAGTTTATGTATACTTTGAAGTCTGATAATCTTGGTGGATGCAGTAAAATATTATTCCATATGCTTATGGTGATGTGAACTTTATGGTTTATTGGTGCAATGTTTAATCCCTTGCATGTTTCCATGGTACATTTTCATTTTACTTATGTGAAAAAGAGTGAAACAGATTTCTGTTTTTCTTTTTTGTGTGAAGAGATCATTTATGACTGCTTCTGAATTATGCACCCCGATAAATTGGTTTAGACCTGTTAAGGATATGCTATTAACAGTTTCAACACATATATGCAGATACAACTTATTAGATTTAGTGGATCACTTCGACAATCGTGGCTTGTATCGTCGGATCTTTTTGAGGTATGTCCTGAAAAAACAAGTTTCATTATGAGGCTATCTTTTTCCGTTTCTATAACTGATTATCATTTCAGCATAATGGAAGGTGAAGAGTCTTTGAAGGTATATTCACCTGAAATTAAAATTCAAGATCCATGTCTCAAAAGTGCCATTCCTCACTTCCCACCAGTATATCTGGTCCATGGAACTGCAGATTATTCCATACCATCAGTAGCTAGGTTAGTCTATGAATTGAAATTCACTGGTTATTATATTTTGTTCATAAAAAGATTGGTTATCATATACTTTTTTTCTGTTCAAGGAAACTTCTGAAGGTCTCAATTGTATTCTTCTGCGGTGTATTGCCACACTATAAATAAGACCTGATCATTGTTACAACGTAAAGATTGAAAGGGTTACTTGACTGTCATGTACCTAACTTAACCCTCTTTAGATCTTGGCTTGTACTAATAACAGCACAGGAAGAGTTTGATGATCTCTGGTTATCATAGAACTAAATAACTTTTATGACTTTGTGGGTTCTTCTTTCTTTTCTATGGTACTTGTGTTATCTCTATGGATTATTAAACACAAAGATGGAATACTATTGTTTACTAAGAAATGAAACATCCACTGTGGTAATTTTCTTTGCTAGACTTACAAACATTAATGTCAAAAAGTAGGTTGCCTTTGTGTGAGGGGATATTAATAAGTGATTTTTGCAGTGAACGGTTTGCTGATGCTCTAAAGAAGGCAGGGGCAAGAGCTGAGTTGATTTTGTGTGAGGGGAAGAGTCATACAGATCTGTTTCTACAGGTAAGTTAAACGTGAAGCGATTTCAAATTTTTGGGTACTAAATAAAATATAAAACTTTATATTATGCAACATGTTTTAAGTTATCGTTTTGACTATCTTTTTAATCATAGAGCTGAAAAAGGAATCATGTGCCATATACGTAGTGCTCTAAACGTTTTGTCTGATAAACTTGAATTGATTCCTTTTCAACCTTGTTAGATGTAACAAACTTAGGCCTATCTCTTTGTATTTTCCTATTTATAAACGCATAATTGTATATGCTATATACACATTAGGGATTCAACCTAAGCTTCTCTCTTTTATAGTAACATTCTATGAGAGCCTGGTTAATCCTCTATCTCTTTCTGGATCTATAACTTTCATTGTGATAAGGACTCGTTGGAATTTTTTCACTATTTTTAGGTTGTTTCTCTCTCTTGGTAATTATTTTCTATCTCTACAATCATCTATGGTCTTTTTTGTTGCTCGAAAGTTTGATTCATCCATCTATACTCTTAAGAAGTGGACTTAAGCCTTTCTCAACCTTAAAAATCGGTTAATAAGATGTGATTTGCATACTTATATACTATAAATTTGTCTTATCTTTAATTAACAATGGATCGCCAACAAACCTCCTCATGTATATGGGAGTAGACATTTATAATGGTCTCATAATAAGTGGCAAGATAGGTTCAACAAACAACAAATCTCGTTAGGATAGATTTCAGGTTGCTTTGATACTATTTTAAGAAGTGAACTTTAAATCTAACTCAATCTTACAAAACTGAATTGTAAGGTGAGATTTCCCCCACTTATATATTATAAATTTGATTTATCTTTAGTCAATGTGAAATCTCTAACATATACCAATTATCTTAATGTGCATCTATCCGCTGATAAATTGGATGGAACTAATTATGATAATTGGACATCATACATTAGACTTTGGCTTAAGAATTAAGGTTATGTTGATCATCTTAATGAGTGTGACTACTATTACTGAAAATGAGCTTTCTTGTTGGTTAAAAAATGATGCTCAATTATGAATTGTATTCAACTTTATTATTCATTCATCACTGAAACAAATTCTTCGTGCTTATGAGACATGTTCAGAAGTTTGGGAATTGGTCAAATTGTTATACACCAATGATACTCAATACTTTTATGGTATTTTGTCAAAATATCCTAAGTAATGTTGGTCCTAGATGTTTTGATGGTACAATGGCTGAATACTTGGGTAGCGTTCATGCTTTTCTCCATGACTTCAATGAGTTATTATCTCCTGCCTTCACTCCTTCTCAAGAACTAAAGTAACAATCAAAGTTTTTTATGTTGTGGCCCATCTCTTTGTATTTTTCCTATTTATAAAAGCATAATCCTATGTGTTCAATATACATTAAGGATTCAGCCTATGTCTCTCATGTCTCTTATTTTAATAGAAACCATGTCTTTGGTATGGTTTTTGGTGTTGTCCTTTCCCAAAATGGCCATCCCATTGCCTTTTTTCAGCAAGAAGACGTGTGCATGTACGCAAGTCACCTCTATCTATGCCCGTGGAATGTTGGTTATCATAGAAGTGGTCAAATAGTGGAGTCAATATTTGATAGAAACCTCGCAGTTGGTCCTTTACTTTTCTGTTGAGATTTCCAAGTTGCATGGTCTTCTGAAGTGAATCATATCATAACATGATTTGCTATTCCTTAGTAATTTTTGGAATGAGCCCTTTCACTTACAAAGCGACCGACTCATTTAGTATTCGCATACCATCTCCAAACGGATGACCAATCACAGGTGATTAACAAAAGTTTACCAGGTTTACCTGATTTGTTTTCCAGTGACAACCTTCACACATGTTACAATTCCTTCATCTGGCCAAATTTTGGTATAACACTTCGCACGATTTCATCATCAACATCACCCTGTTCCTAGCTTTCTATGACCGCCCGCCATTGTCCATACTAGACTATGTCAACGATACCACTACAGTCCTGTCCTTGGCCACTCCCTACAAGAACTTACCAAAATGCTCTACCAACTACGACAAAACTTGAACTGCACTTGTCAATGAATGACCATT